CTCTCTCTCTCTCTCTCTCTCTCTCTCTCTCTCTCTCTCTCTCTCTCTCTCTCTCTCTCTTGATCTCTTGATCTCTCTCTCTCTCTTGATCTCTCTCTCAATCTCTCTCGATCTTTCTTGGTAGGTAGGTACTAACGGATTTGGGGGTTGAGAGTTCAAGTCTTTCCAAGCATGGGCCTATAACTCAGTTGGTTAGAGTGTACGCCTGATAAGTGTAAAGTCAGTAGTTCAAATCTACCTAGGCCCACTCTGCTCTGTGGGTGGGTGAGTGGGTAGGTAGGTGGGTGAGTAGGTAGGTAGGTGGGTGAGTAGGTAGGTAGGTGGGTGAGTGGGTAGGTAGGTCGGTGGGTGGGTGAGTGAGTGGGTGGGTGGATGGATGTATGTATGGATGGATGGATGGATAGGGAGGGAGGGAGAATGATAGTAGATAGATAGATAGATAGATAGACAGATAAATAGATAAACAGATAAATAGATAGAAAGATGTATCAATCTCTGTCTCTCACCTTGCCTTTCCAATTACATTGATAGCACTTGTGGAATCTTGCTGGGGCTTGGCTTCTGTGTCGAACAGCTCCAGAGTTCGAGACTGGCGCCTCCACCTTCGCTCTTTTCTCTCCCATAGCTCCAACTGTCTCATGTGCGGACCTTCTTTCTGGACTGGCTGCGGCAATGCCCACGCCAGCAACCTCCATGCAAGCCATGTGCCTGGCACGATGGCCAGATACATCTTTGACAGATGCGTGAACGGCTGGAATGGAGATGGAGGAGGGATCACCTCTATGTGCGCCACCTGTCGGTGCAGATCTTGCCAGATATCACTCCACCCATCCGCAGGAACTGGCTTTACCTCATGCCGATGGAACTCTACTGGCTGCTTGCCACTCCTTGATCCTTCCTTGTTCGCATATGGCAGAATCACTGAAACATCGTCCACACATCATCGTCATCACAACCATCATCATCATCATTATCATCATCATCATCATCATCATCATCATCATCACCAAACGTCCTCATCGTTCTCTCTCTCTCTCTCTCTCTCTCTCTCTCTCTCTCTCTCTCTCTCTCTCTCTCTCTCTCTCTCTCTCTCTCTCTCTCT